GTCCTTGTCTGGTAATGTTATTTGAATTATTGGCTTTTAAGTATTCCAGTGATAAAATGTATTTACAAGAATTTATACTCTTACACTACATTTAATTTTAATTGTATCTGATTCAATCCCTTTGCTCAATCAATTCATTGAAATTTACAAAGACTTCCGTTATCTCATTTATTCGATTTTTTTTTTTTAATATTATTTAAGTGTATTATTGTGAAAAAATATTTTCTTCCGCTCTCTCAAGATATTTTAATGAGAAAGAAATCGTATTATATAATAGTAACACTCAGAATCCTTTACGAAGATATCGTCAATAACGAATAACAGTATTTTTATATTCCAAACAATTTTTATAGTAAAATGAATAATTTATTCGTCTTTTAACAAAAGCAATTTGCACGTGTCGCTGTTATTCGTTTTCGATATTTCAAAGTATTGAGATAAAAAAAAAAAGAAAAGAAGATGATGGAAATGTGGCTTTAAAGTAAAGAAAAAATAAATACCCCGTTGACGATTCACAAAGAGTACCTTTCTGAAAAGATTCTAATGATGACAGATATCCCTACGGCAAATATCCTGATAATATAGACAGATAACAATCTAGCCTTTAGGCTAAAGCCTATAAAAATTTTCTTTACTGTCATTTTACTTTTATTTACTAATGTCTATTTTATAATCATCTCATTCAAATAAAAGAAAAATAAACAATTAAATTAGATGATTAGATCATTTAATAATCGGAAAATTGGGGAATTATTTTGAAAAGTGAGGAATGATTGTGTGTATCTGTGGGAATAGTTTTTAAGTATATTCTGCTCATAACGTATTTTTGCAAAAGTTTCATATTTTCCTCGGGCAGAAAGAGAGATGAAATGAGTTGTATACATGCTTCGAGAGTTTTGTTTATTTCGCATACACACCGCTGCATTATGAATAGTCAATGTACATTATAAACATGTTGCATGACCAAAATGGCTTTGAAAGTTCATTGTCCTAACAATATTATTGAATTATGCTCTGAAATGCCAAATTTTCGATTTTGTCATAGATAGTGATGTACATTTACGTTATTATATACGTCAATTAAGAATCTATTTCAATTAATACACCAATATGTTTTTCTCTCTAAACTCTATTAATACAATTATTGTATTTACACTATTAGTCTCCCATTTGTAAGATTTTTTGGAATTAAATCAGCAATTAATTTAAATAACTTTCACAAATGAATTTTTTTATGTAGAGGAAAGGAGGGTAAAATGGAGTATTTAAAATAATTCATTAACTATTAAAATAAGCTTGAAATCACTTTTTTCTTTATTAATTTCTCTAGATATGACTTTTTTGAAATTCATTAATATTTGTTAACTTATTGTTTAATTGTCCACTTGGCCTTACCTTTATTCTCTCTTCTATGATTAAAATACGTGATGCCAATGATAATAATAGCAATTTAACTTCAAATAAAGCTTTAATTTGGAATTAAAATTACCAACTTGAAATAGATGTCAGTATTTTAACATTCGTACAAGTTCAAGATAGAATCTATTCGATGATATTCAGCAATAAAAATATAAAATTAGAATACCTATAATGTTAGCTGGATCCAGATTAGATCGTAATTTTGAAATGGAGCATTTTGTTTTGGTGATAATACGGAAGTTGTCCGTTATGTATGGAGAGAATGCTCCAGTTTGAACGATTGTCCTAGTTGAGTAACAGACTTGTAGAGTAGAAGAGTATTATATATACAGAAAAGTAGAAAGAATAAGTCTAAGAGGATAAAAGAAAGAGAGAAAGATGACGGAACAGTATGGTAGTATTAGTACGAATGGTATATAGATAATGTAGACAGTAGTAGCAGTACAAACTGGCAAGACTGGAGTCTAGTTTGGAAGCTGATTGGCGCCCAGTTCCGAAGAGATGTAGACAGAAAGACGCCAGTAGATATAATAGTGGCGCCAGATATTCTGTATCTCCATTCCATCTCCCAATATGTATACTTACTCGGTGATATATTTCATTTTTTTATCGCCCATTTTATTTTTAGATTTTTGTAAAATTACGAAGAGAAGAGAAAAATCATTACTAAGCAAACTGGAATGATTAAATGTTAGAATTTTTTTTTTGCCATTTAATTTATGAATGTACTGGTTGGTTTTCAATTGACTTGCGTATGAATTGAAAGAAATTTATTGAAAATGAGGACAATGATCCGTCCCGTTTGTAGATTTTTATATAAAGAGGATGTGAAAACAAATGAAAGCATACTGACAAATTGGTGGTGGCTTCAGAGAATGAAAGACTGAGACAGAGAGAAAAGATAACTATACCACGTGTAACAACTGTGGGTTTCATCCTGATTGTCCGCTTTCATTTATATACGTTTCAACTCTGGGAGTAAAAATGCCCCCTGGATAAAGTCTATACATATGCCAAAAGCTTATACAGTGATATTTTTCAACCTTTACTTTTTTTCACCAAATATTTTCACTCGTCTCATACGTTTTAACCTTTTTTTCATTCTTCCTGACTTTTTTTGTATCCTCATTTTAGTTTGAAATCCTCGTGGAATGTAATTCACTAAATGTACTATATGTATCTCATAATATTGCATATTGTCTCATCCTAAATAACAAAAGAATTCTTTTTTTTTTCTGTTCGGTATTAAACAATGAATGATAAATTAATAAATTAAAAATAGTGATTTTATTTTAGAATTGCATATGCAATATTTTCAAGCAAAGAATATTTCATTAATTTTTTTTTTAAGCCATTAGATGCTTTACGAATTGTTTTTCAATACACTTGCTTCTAATGAAATAAAATAAATTCTCCTCTATTGTTAATGAATCCGTAAAGTAATTGAACACGTGACTTTTTAGATTTTACTCTATTCTGCGTACAAACGAAAGGCGTGCTCAACAAGGGTTTCAGACCAGAAGTGTTTGTCAATTATGAAACACTCGAGAATAGTTATCAATTGTACCAGTAAAGAAAATTACGGCGTAACAGTCGTGAGGGGAATTACTTTCGAGTAAGAATATTGTAGAAACTTATAAACACATTTAATATTAGTTATTAATCCAACATATTAATATAATTAATCAATAAAATATTTTTATCAACAAAATATCAAACCAAGTATCTAAAAGTATTCCTAACATACCCGTTAACGTTCTTTATAACTTTGACTCAATAGCAATAAAAAATTTACGAGAGGTTTTAATCTTTTTCATATAATGGTTTTCATAATTCTTTTTTTTACTTTTCGTTCTTTTTTTTTTTATTTCAGCATTAACTGTCTTTACTAAAGCTTTATTGATTATCTATTAAATCTTATAACATAAAAAATCATAAATTTTCACGCTAATGCATGGAAAAAAAAGTGATTATACGTAGTAGTAATTGAATCTTATCTGTTGATATGTAGGTTAATATTGTCATATGTATAAAGTAAAGAGTATCATAAAAAATATCATGTCATCAGAGAATATAAGAGGCTCGAAAATCGCACCCTTAATTTACATGAAGAAGTATACGAGGTAGGCAACCTGTCACTCGAGTCAAGGGGACCGCAAAATCCTCTCCTGCCTCTTTGGCCCTCGTCATTCACTCTTTGACCCTCTTCCTTCCGACCTTGCCTAACAACCAACTCCCGTAGCCTTTCTATCCGACGACGGCTCCTCTTCAACCCCTTTTAAGCACCACCGCCGTTTCACCACGACCTTAAAGCTTGGTAAGCATATCTCCCTCAGTCTCTTCTTTAGTATTAACTCTTTTTTGCCACTCAGTGCACTTCTACTCTCCTCGTCTACCCTTATATACTTCTCATATAATCTATGTGCTTTTACGCATGTTCACTTGTCACTTTTTTTTCTCTAATACATAATGGAGATGGAGAATAATTAATTAATTAGTACATTTTTTGCTAATGTTGGCTACTCGGATTAAGTTTACATTTTTTTATTTAATTTATTAATTTTAGTTACTTTTTATTTTAAATAAAACAATATATTTTTGTTAGAAAAACTATTCTAAAAAACATTAGATAAATGTGTATTATGATACTTATCAGGATTGGCTAGAGTTGATAATCGTGTAATTCAATACTTACGTAGATGCCCACACGGTTCATTCTCTATAATTTTAGGATAAAGAATTATCCTTGATGTTAGCCCTTCAGATCAAATTACACACTGCTTGAAGTTTCTTTATAGAGAAATCGATCATTTGCATCACATTATAAAGTATATGTTCTCTGATGCAAAAATTTCTTTAGTTCAGTGTTGAAGAAATATAAATACACAATTAAATTCGATATATTTTAATTAATTGGGGACAAATCAATATTCATATTCTCTTGTAATCCATAAAAAAAGTTTATGAATACATTTGCCATAATTAAAAGAATCCTTTTTTTGCTAAATTTTCTATGTCATGTTTTGCTAATAAATATTTTATATAATCATTATGTTATTAGGTGCTATTAATGTTTTTTTTTTCAAGTGTATAAAAAATAGCAATGAGTTAACATAGCAAGTATTAACATAAGACAAAATAAAGACTTGAATAACAAGTTTTTTACTCATTACAGTTATTTTCTGTCCTGTGTGATAGAAATTGATAGGAATGTAGATCAAGGAATTAGAGCAAATGAATTACAATATAATTATATATTTATTATTATCAATATTTGTTAACCACAATTTTTTATTTTTTGTATAATATACAATTTTTATTTCTATACTTTGTCTTCTAAACTCTTATTGTTTCAATTTCGTTATATCTATTGATAAATTATATACAAAAGCACATGATTATTTTTCATTCGTTTTTATTATATTTTTGATCTCTATAATCTACAGTATCAATAATTTTCATTTTTTGGTCTAGTTTACGTTTTTTAATTTATTATTGTTGTTATTATTACCATAACTATAATTTATTTATTTTAATTTTTTTTTTTTTATTTATAGTTGAAAATATTTCGGTCAATTTCGTAAATATTCTACGTACTTGAGAGATTTAAGACAAGAAAATTAAATTTATTGAAACTATATTCTTATAACTCTCATGCTGATTTTATGTTCATTTGACTATAAAATAATTGACCATGTTATCAACAACAATGGGGAATTATTGTTCATTATTGTGACGACCATACATTTTTTTTAGCTTTAAAAAAGTACAGTTCTTTGAAACACATAAAGCTCATCTGCCAATTAAATTTAAAAGATTATTTTCATTTCATTTATGTTTTAATGTATTATAATCTTTTGTCTAGTATATCACTTTGTGTAATATTGTGCGACTAAGCCATTTCTGTTTCAGCAACATTGCTTTTTGTATTTTTAGAATTAGTCATTTCCATTACAAAGATATAATTATCTCAATTTGTATTATCAAAATAATTGATTTACAGAGCATTGCGATTAATCGACCCATCATGCCACGTATTAGCTGTAAAAACAAATTTATCTTTTGAAATTTTAATTATTATTATTTTTCTAAGAAATCATACCATTTTAGTTGAAAAAAAATAATATTATTACCTCGATATCGAGTTTCCGGCGCCATTGAAGGACATTTTGCATCAGGAGCCTATATTTAATAAATTAAAAAACAAATTAATAAAATATTTTTGACAAATGGAACACACCTGTTGATTACTTTAATACTTTTCATTACTTTACTTTAAAAATACATTTATTTAATTAGTAAATAGAATAAAAGAAATTAAATTGAAATGGTAATGAAAAGTATTGAATTAATTAAAAAATAATAAATAAATCAATTATCTTACTTTACGGAAATCAATATTAGTTCTGATAGTTCTATGGTGAAGAAGTTGAATCGGTCTTGCATTATTTCCAAGTGGTGCTTTCGGTATAGTTGCTGTTCCTTGCATTAGTTTTCTCAAGGCGTAAAGCTTCAGTATCAAACAAAAATCATCCAATAAATCGATTAGAAAAGCAATAAAAGTGATCCGCATTTATGAAATATTAAATAGTATTTTAATGAGAAATACCAATATTTAACAACAAGTATAATAATTTATTCTACAGCATATGAACATACACCGAGAATAAATAAAATATACTAGAGAGCAGAATAATAAATTGAAAGTAATTTACCTCTTGGGCACTAATGTAGATAGGTCTGTTGAGAATGAGCCAGACCGTCGTTTCCCAACAACCTGGATGTGTTGTACTTCCCTCGTAGGTCATGTATCCATCAGTCTCTGGTAAAAGTTCACTAAGGGACAGATGACCAACTGGGGCTGTTTGTGCTGTAATCAGGGTGAAAAATTGAAATTCAAAAATTCATCATCTGGTTAAATAATTTATTTTCAGTAAATCTTTGTGGATAGAAAGGTTATCCAATTATGTACCTCAAACTTTATTTAATTTATTCTGTATTTACTTGTTCCAATATCGATATAAGAATTTATTAAACATTTATGAATTTATTTATTCAACGCTTACAATCATAATATTTAGCAAATAAATATTTATCAATGCTTAGAAAATCTCTCAGTTTATAGCCGATATTTAATGCTATAACTTATTAAAACTTCCAAAAGTCATCTCATTTGATTGAATTTAATTTAAGTGCGAAAGTAATTAAGTAAAAGAAAAACTTTAAATTTACTACTGACAAGGATAATATTGAATCTTCTCATTACCTATATATTATTCAAGACGTATACTGACAAATGTTCATTTAGTATGAATATATTAATTGTATTAAAAGTTTAATTAAGCTTTTTTTTATCAATTAAAATGTTATATCAATAATTGTTGTTTTCATGATTAATAAATGTTCATCAATATATGTGTACTTAAAAAGTACAATTAATAAATAACTGAGAAATTCTAGAGTAAAGAATAATTCAAAGAATTATAATTACAATTATGATTTAAAATCAATGAATCAGGCTAGAAAATTATAAATATGCTTATTTAAATTCTTCATTGTTGTTTATAAATAGCAATTTACTAACAGAGTAATGGATAATTTTATTATTCATCCCGATTGTTTTATGAGAATTGGCTCATCAGTTGATGTTTTCTATTGTTTATTATTTTCATTAACGAATTGTTTTCATGGAGAATACATTTTTTTTTTATGTTATTAATTATCTTAATGTAAAAATAAAAGCTTTTGTTTCATAATTTGTCAAAAAAAAAAAAGCTTCTCAAAAGCGTAGCATTTTAAATACTTAAAAGTTTTTATAAGTCTGAATTTTATTAATAATAATCATTAAAAATAACCATCAAAATTTATTGTACTATGAAAAAATTAAAAAATAAAATAGTTTGACTTTAAAAATATTTAACTTGTTAAAAATTTCAAAGCATATATTACTGAACAAATGAAAAATATCGTTAAAGATCATAGCATTTTTAGAGATTATAAACGAAAATGACAAATAATAACATGAGTGCTCGTCGACGATGAAATATCAACTGACGTACTCGCTATCCAGAGATTATAGAGTAAGGGGTGAGAGATGTTCGTATGATTAATGAGACACATTAACTTTCTTATTCCCACCTAGTAGGGAGGAAGGGTATGAATGACTATAAAGACACACAAATGGCATTAGTCACAACTTCTTTCGACAATTTCGTGACTACCAAATAGCATATCTTTATTGCTAAAATCTTTTTTTCAAATTCATTCCGATATATTTTTGACATTTATCATCGTATAAAGGGATAAGGTCACCCTTTAAGAGCACATAAGAAGCTCTTAGGAAAATTGACCAACCTTAATGGCTCAAGTGCTGACGATAATGATGATGATAGACGTACTGATGATAATAAAGCTTGGCTTTTTGCGGTACCATCGTCTGTGTCTGTGTCTAGGTAACAGCTGCATCAGTGAAGACGATGAAACATTTTGTGTCAAGTAAAGGTGGTTAGTCAACTATTTTCAAGCATCAGTTGATAAGAGAATGCATAACACTTTGACACTATCATTAGAGTTTTATTTTTTCACCAATAGCAATAAATAAAAATCAATGATACACTTAAGAAATATAGAACGACTACTATCCTAGTGAATAGTGCAAGGAAGAAACAACCGATAAAACATCATTTTCATTATGTCGATGAAACACCATACGATGAAATATTTCATCTATTATCAGAATTTGGTGTGGCAAGAGCAGAGAATGGGTAGGGACGAATGGTGCATTAAGAGACCAACGATATGCACAGGTATAAGTAAATATAGATTCTGGTCGAGCGCATACTTCACGCAAACTCGAGAGTTGATGTCGATATTGGTCGGAAATGCCATCCATGGCCTATGCTGCGTAGGTCATAAATTCAAATTTCCCGCCTTTTCAATTTGAGCTTGAGAGGATCCTGTTTGTTACTTCTCTCTGTATACTTATGCAACAATGGAATACTTAGATTCGTGTCATACCCCCTTGGCACGACACTTTCTATTGTCTTGTGATTTATGACGGTGTCAGGGCTCTCTCGTCGGGGTCTAGTCGGGTTGGTGAAGGAATAGAAAGGAATTATTGATTAAAATTCATCACAATAAAATAAGAAAGAGTGATCTAATATACATATAAAATGCAATTTGCGATAGACAATATGCAGGTGCAAAATTTAAGCACATTAGGTTGCATTAGTCAGGAGACTCCGTGCTATCTATTTTCCGGGTACTTCATTTTATCATTCTAAAGTATGTAGTTTCTTAATTCAATTAATTAGATTATCTATAATTCAAATTTCTAATTGTATATTCTTGCTCTTTTTGTATGATGAAACTTGTAAAAGACAGTCAATTTAAATTTATATACTCTTTAATTTGATTTAAACCATAATTAATTTATTTCATATTATCATTATTTTTAAGTATAAATTAATAATTTGCATAAAAAGAAATTTTAGTTAAACATATATGTTTCAGTTGAATAATTTCTTGTGAACTTATTTAATACAGAATATATTTGGTAAGAATAAAATGGGATGTGGGTTCTGAGCTCGATTGTCAATATACAATGACAAACGTATATCATTATCATGATAAAAAACTTTTTCTTCAACCCAAAATCATTGTAATGTCATATGTGAATAATCGAGTAATATTTATTACTGACTCTTTGAAGTTTTATGTCTTTTATGTTATTTTTGCATTTACCACTAAGCAAATAGTTAATTCATTATTTTACTTTCAGCTGCTTTTTTTCAACAAGAAAAAGAGATTTTTTTCATATGCTCCAAGTTATTTTTCACTCAACATTTTATTTATTATCTAGTCCTGTTGACATTTGGTCGCACCCTTATATACTAGATGTGCAGGAAGTTATTTGGTGCGTGAACTACGTATTCATCCAATGTGCCACTCGTGAAGTAAAAAAAAAAAAGAGCAGCACATCCTCTGGCTTTTGGAGAACTGTTTTTAATTGCTCCCTGAGTTTTCCTTCTTCTTTATTCAACAGATACCGTATATTTTTTTATACATATATCAACAAGACTTTTCATTTTAGGACGAATTATATTTGAATTAATGTCAAGCTTTAACTTTTTCTCATGATGACCTCTTTTAATATCTTATGCGGAGTAATATAAGTCGTAATGTTAATCCGATATTACATCAGTCTATTTTTATTGACTGTTATTACTTGAACAAACATAGTTCCACTTATTTTTATGTAAATAATGATACTTACATCGGTATTGTACCCTGTTGAACACACTGGTTATTATCCGGAGTTCCGGGTTTGGCGTGTCCCCAAGCTAAAACAAAAAAAAAATGGTATCAGCCTTAATTTATTTTTCATTGATTCACTAATATTCAGTTGAATAAGCTAATTTGAAATACAAATGATCTCACACTGTTTGCAAATCAGAAGTTACGATCGTTCAGAAGTATAATAACAAGTAGAAATAAAAACTAAGTTTAAAGTAAAAATTGAAGTACGGTATTCATAATAGCATTGTATTATTTTCAACATAATGGGCTCTGGTGCAAATAAATATCAAGTATTTTCTTTATATATTTTTAATTATTTTAGAATGTTCACTTAAAAGTTTGAAATTATTTTTCATTAATTAATAACAATGATTGAATTCTTATTTTGCTAAGGGTTGTTTAAAGCACAAGTAAGAAAGAAAGTGAATTTTTTTATTATACTGAGTCTACAACCAATGTTATGCGTCAATTTTAGCCTTGAGTCTGATTTTTCTCTATTCGACATCGTTTTTTTGAACGTTCGAAACTTTAAGTAAATTTTTTTACATTTTATATGTATTGAAAAAAATATTAGGTCAGAAAATAGGAGAAATACAATTCAACTTAATTATTGTAGCCTATCGATCTTTTTTCCACACATCCAAGAGAAACTTTTTGTGAATGACAGCATCTCGGGAGTCTTTGCTCATTCAGATTTCTCGCTTGACTACGGCACCAAGGGGTAAATCTCTAGAGTGTAATTCGTCTGAATTACAGTAGTCAAGACTTCGTAGAGATCCTTTACAACTCATTCACTCATCGAAAGATAAAGTATCTGTTAAAGTTGACTATATGTATTTTGTAAATTACTTCAAGAAGTACTGAAATGTCTTAGAGATTTAAAATGAAAATTTTCAAGCTAAAAATAAGTAAGATATTATGTCTAAGTAGTCAAGCATCTAATATCTTATTCAATCTCTGATAATTTAACGAGAAAATTTACGTTTTAACTAGCCACTGATTAAGAGCCAACTTCAGTTAAAATTTCATTTATACCTCATTATTAAATTTCTCTAAACCTCAATTACATTTTATTATTCCAATTACAAACTACAGGCATTTGCTAGCTTAATAATTCACAGCTTTTAAATGAAAAATATCTCTTTATCTGTCAAGCAGAATCATGAAAATAGATATTGCCAATTTCACCACCATTAAATGCAATAAGCCTTTCGAATGTTACTATAAAGGTTTTTTTTTGTAATAATTGATTATTTTGAACACAAGATAATTATCATGGAAATTTTTAAATTTGTTTGACAACCATAGATATCAAATATGTGATAAAAAATGAATTTCTAAAAGAAGATTTTATACTAAAATATATTTTATATAAAAAGCTCATAAATAAGGAGAAAATGAAAATATTTGTTCATATGCTCTTCAAAGCTGTTGAAACTGTACAAACTTCTCAGTAATATCTTGTCACTTTTCCAACCTTTTATTAATATGTTACCAAACATGAGACATCAAATTCAAACTTTGTACAACAAAGAAAATGACTTGTCGCTTGAAGCACTACTTAACATAATTATCAGTAATATTACAAGGGTTTTATTAAATTAAATTAAGTAAAAATTGACAATATATTTAATAAATATTATGTTTGATAAATAATTAATTTAAATAATTAATTAATACACAAAGTAATGAATGGGAAAGTAAAAATAATATTATTTACAAACCTGGACCATCAATGAAATAGCAACTAAGCCTTGACTTTTATGTTGTGCTTCGCTCATGTTGTGATAAAGCTCAGCATTAAATCCATAAACTTGGATCTGCAAATAATTGTTAATTGTATTAAATCTTCAATTCTCATTATAGTTCATATTGTTACAAAAAAATTTTTAAAACTGTATACTTTTAATTATTTGTTTGTGAATGTTTGAACGAAATATGTTGATATTAAATTTATTATTGAGTTTCAATAGCACGTCACTAACAGCTTTAACGCATGAATTATATACGCTAAGCAACCGTATAGTGAAATAAAATATAAATTACTGACACTTTGTGAGTGCCCATAAGTTTTTACTGCGGAAAGACTGCCAAGGGTTGAGTTGCTCTTTACTGAGAATGAAATACCTGTGATGCGACCAAGTATGCATCAAAGACATGACGAAATAAAAAAAGAAAGAAAGGCAGAATAAGAAAAGAAGATAGGAGTAAATCAAAGTACATATAACGAGAACTACTGAAATAGTAAATTTTTTATCCTCTTTCACTCAAACAACTTTTTTTTATTACTCATGACTCCTTACATCGACATTCATCTTTACATCTTCTCTCTTAAAGCTATCGCTTTTCAATTCTCTACTCCGTCAATCTTTTTTATTCATAGCCACGTGAAACAGTGGAAATTGTAGAATGAGTTATACGGGTATTATTAGGCCCGAATTTTCTTTTATTTTTCCTTTCTCTCTCGTCTGAATGTCTGATCAAAGAGAGTTATCCCAGAGGAATCGTCTCACGAGCATATCTATACTAAAAGAACCCAGTGGCAATAGTCACCTTTTGGATAATAGAAAGAGTCCCTTGGGCAGATACAAAACGTCTATCGTACACTAGTGCATTCTCGCCTCTTCGACTGTTAGAATACAAAAAGAGGGGATTATCGAGTGGTGGATAAAAACCTTCTTTCAATCAACATCCGATAGATCGTTATGAAAGTAGAATCAGCACAAGAAAATATACATCTTTTAAACAGTGTATACATAATTTTTCTCTCTTATTTGTTACATTTTCAATTCTACTACATTTATAATCTCTCTTTCTATTTAAGCTGCATTTTTAAGCAACTCTGTTTTTATTTTAATATATCAAAAAATAATTTTTAAGATACTTTTAAAAATTCAAAGGATATTTAATCTTTCTATGACAAATTTTTTTTAGTTTTTTACTTCAAAAACTTTCAAAGAAAACTTCATTTTTATATTTGAATATCGTTGAGTTTTTTGCCATTTTTCAGACGCAGATCATCTTTTTAAAAATCAAATTTATAAACATTTTAAATGAATACAAAGGAAGAAATAATATCTTTTCAATTATTTAATTTTTCAACAACATTTTCTTTGATACTATACTTTATTGTCTACTTTTGTTACCTTTTTACAGAACAAAAATAAAAAGAGAAAAAAAAGCACCATCTAAATTGACATTTTATTGTCTGAAGCACTGATATTGCTTAGCACTCAGTTGTGAACAATTGAAAAACAGTGACATTCAATGAAGATACATTCAGCTAAGAGATTAAAGCTCGGAGTGATAATTAAACAATCATTCGTGCTGACAGAGCAATTTCTTTTGAAAGAATCAATCACATAACGAATAATATATTATTTAGTATTTGTGATACATTGCATATTAGTCTTTCTGAAATGTCATCTAATGTGGGCAGCCGAGTAATACCTCCCTTGTATCGTCGAGTCAAGAATAATTGGTACGTCAGAAGCTGCATCCGTGGCATATGGGCATGCCATCACGATTTCTGGCACAATGCTCTATTCTCCCATGATAGATATACGACCGTAATCAACCCCTCCTTCTGTCTACCAACTATATTAACCGTAGAGAGTGCGAACCAGTCAAGATCACCTCTGAGGGGGTGAATATGTGCATTTCTGGATATGCACATATTGTACAGAATAATAAAGAGTTTATTATTATCATTATTGATGAGATTAATATTGCCAATTTATTCCTTGTTGAAGGAACACAGTAAATCAAAATCTCAAAATTTTATTTGATGATGAAAAGTAAACGAATGATGAAAAAATGGAAAGAAAATATTTTTCAGCTAAAATATGTCTAGTGATTACGTCTATATATAAAACATTTTCCAGTGTAGAGAAAAATTATTTCTGCATTAGGATGAAATTTATTTTGTAAACAGTAAAATTATCAATCTATAGGAAGAGTCAAATTTATTTGATAGAAATTCAAATTTATTTAAACGCAAAAATAATTTTTCTTCTCAATCAAAAACATTTTATTCTAAGGGAATAATTTATATCATTACAGTCAATTTAACTAAGTAAATTTTCATAGAAAAATGAATCGAAGAAAAAGTAAAGTTAAAACATGACAGATATATTTATAAATAATGGAAAGTACTTTTTTTTCTCATTTTTATCACGATGATCATGAGATAAAAATTATATTTGGAAGTTTATTTTGTCTTCATGCCAACAATTACAGAATCTCAATGATGTCTCTTTGAGAGGTGCATGCAGGAGAGAAAGAGAGAAAAATGAGAGAGACGTAAAATAAGTGGGCACTCGGCTATGACAGTCGTGATGAGGGTCGTTCAACTATAAACGACCACTACAATTACCGCTTTGTGCAGCTACTACACGCGCGTCTAACTAAAGTAATTAAGAGAATTTTAGATATAAACTGTAATGATTTTTAACGTATTATTTTGTAATCAAATTCGGAACTTTTAAAATAAACTCCATTTTTACTCTATCCAATGAAAGTTTAACCATTTCAAGTATTACTCAATTGAAGTTCCTTTTAAACAAATGATATTGTTATTAGATAAAACTATTCGATCACTAAGGAAATTGATTAATGAACATTTTTGAGGTTGTATAAGATATTCTATTGTGGCATTTCAATTAAGTTATGCATTGAATTTCACCAAAGTATCCAGGAATGTTTTTCGTTAAATATTTAAATTAACAATTCAATCAAAATACTATAAATGTATCATCCAATTGCAATGCTTGAAAATTTGATTCATTACTTTTGTTTGATCATTACAATTAAAATTAATATTTTAAATTAACCATAATCATGAAATTGATAATAATCAAAGCAGAATTCAAAATAGATATTGTACGGTATTTTCCTTAAATAAATATATCGAATTATGTCTGTCAATTTAGACGTGTCCAAATTCTCTCTGTGATTCCATTCGTATCATAGATGTTGTTTGACCATTAGTGGCCATCTGATGACACTACTAAATGGAAGCAAATACGCATTACCGATGGCTTGTGGTAGTTCTCGAGGCTTCCTTTATACATGAACTAATACACTAAACTACTAATCAGTCAATGCGAAATAATTTTTATCGAGGATTATCCGAAGATGTAAGTCAAATTTTTGGTGAATTCTGTTAGATAATTAATTGACCATTAAAGTCCTTTTGGATTAGTCTTTTGAGGTAATAGATTTATACTAATCAGATGAAGATGACCTCTCCATTTGTCGATACTTGATGCTTGGTTTCCATCATCAAAGCAAGCCGGCTCTCAACTACCTATAATGGTTTAGATTCGCCCAAGTGTTTCAGAGTTCTATGCATGCATATGCCTCTTGTATGCCTTTGTCGTCGTACATTGTCACTCCCAATTGAATTACAATCCTATAATATATAGATTCTGATTGATCTTGAAATTAATTTATAATTAAACACAGCTATTTATATTGAAATAATACAAAACTATGTATAAAAACATTTGGTTTGATTTGATTGAATAAATTCATCTAATTTCAAATGTAGAAACATTTAAATTAAGAGTATATATACTCAGAATATAGTGATTGTTCAAACGGAAATTGGTATACCTGAATGTACAATTAAAACAAGCTCTACTGTTTGAATTTCATTTTGTTGTCATTTCAATTACTTGCGGATAAAATTAATAATCTTTTTTTTAACCATCAGTCTATTTGATAGATTTCGGTAATAGAACAAGTTCGTAGGTTTGTAGTAGATCACGGTCATATGTACAAATGTGGTCGACGCGAAATCAATCAAGTTTATCAATTCAACAACCATTTATCGGTCTTAATTATTATATACTCATATGTAATAATGATGATTGACATGCATTAAAAGTATTCAATTACCTCAGCTGGAAAAGCATAATTGTTGACATGATGTTCAGAGCCATGATCGTTGTTCATTCCGTAATGGATGTAAATTTCTTCAAATTGGTAGTGATACGCTAGTGGACCTCCAGTTATGTTGACGCGAGTTTTCGAATCCTTGTCAACTTTGAAGACCAAGAATTGTCCAGTATTGTGTAATTGGCCTGCTATCTGAAATAAAATCAATTTTTATTATTTTACTTTTTATTTAACAATTTTATTAATAATAAAAATTAACATATAGATAACTTTAGGATCAGCTTACAAATAATGGATACTTGTAACGATGAAAATTCTAGATGACATTGATCCACTGGAGACTGGACAATAAAAGTAAGTTCAGCAATAGAATTGAATCAGTCAACAATGGACACTTAACCTGAACTGAGGTCTAGGGGAAAGGTGAAAGAAGAATAAAAAGAAACCATAATAAAAAAAGTAATATCATTTGAAGATACAGGAAGCAATTTATTTATTATTTTCTATTATTTTATCATCTTTCTTATAAAATATTTTATTCTTTTTTCCAATCAAATTGCTTATTAATTATCACAAATTTCAACTTTATGTCAAGATGTAATATTTAACAATGATGTCTTTTAGCTAGTAAATTGCTTGTTAAAAAGGTGAACCATTAAAATCGAAATGGCTGCCAGTTTGGATCAGCGATCAAGCTAGATCATCACGCGTGAAAACTTAAGACACTCTGGCACCGGTTGTGATGATAGTAAGCCATGAGAATGGAAACGAGGCGATAGACTGGGTGAGAGAAGTCCATTTTCTTGTACGTCTTGCGATTGTGAATTATGATGTCATCAGTTGGAAATAATGAGGTAACCTCACTGTGAATTGGACTTTATGAAAAGACACGTCAGCAAAATTTTCCAACGATAACCTATTATTTTGCAATTAATTTCTCTTTTTTCTTATTATATTCTTAGTCGTTTATGGATATAGCTTCTTCGTAAAAAGAATAAAATAACTTGATTGCTCATTTATGCGCCGTTAGCCGACGAATTTTTTTGAAATTTATGGACCCCTCTGAACTGCAGTTTAAAAAACTTTGATCAATGAATTCTATATAGCTCATTGTTCGTGAATGAAGAAGCAGGATATAATTCTTTAAGGCATGGAAACACACAGCAGACTTACTCTCGAATAAATAAATAAAAAATCCGGAGATATGAATAGTAAAGTAGGAGTGAAAAAAGACGACACGGGTCAGACAGCGTATAAGGAAGAAAGAGTAAAAGACAAAGTCAGCGGAAATGGCTGGAGTTTCTCCAAAACTAAAGAGACACACGACCGAGTCTGCTCTATTGTTTAATTTAAGTGCCAAAGTTTTAACTGAAAAGAGGGGGTATAAATTTTACCCTAAACGTCACGATTAACCTGCGATGACGTCAGCCTCGATGTGGTCTAGCTTCTGTGGGCTGACGGCGCACTTCCTAATACAACCTTTTTCTTTTCTTTCCACCTCTTTTTTTATCTATCTTTGTTACTGAAATGAACGTCAAGAGAACGAATATAACAATAGGATTCGCGTAAACGTTCAAGAGTGAAAAAAACCCAAAGGGAAGTCGGAGACAGAGGAATAAAGCGAAAAACAAAAAACACGGAAGCATGAAAGGATGCTTGGGGAGTTTTAAACGCTGCGTGCTGCCTCGTTGAGCATCTGTAGCGGAATGTTTCCTTTGTCACGATTCACGCAAGTGCTTTGCACCCCTATGGAATACATAGGCTGTTTAAATGCTTCACATGTTCCGAAACATTAAGTACCCATTAGTTTAGTGGTTACTAACAAATATTCGATAATTTGTTGTTGATATACTGAAGTAAAAAATTACCACAGATTAATGAATTATTTTCAGATAATTTCTAGTATATACTTCAACTGCTTTGTCACTTTCTATTTACTTTGATAATATTTAAATCAGAAAATATATTTGAAAGTTTGAAAAAGAAAAAAAATATTTTTTCTGTCTGAATAAAATAAATGCCTCAAAGATATTGATATAAATATTGTTCACGTCCCAAGTACGATTTTATAAAATTTTTGGCAGTTGTTTTGAATTATGATCGATTCACGGTAAAAGGACTAACTTAGAAAGTCCTATGGTGGTTTGATATTTTTCCATGACGTGATCTTATCAACTTTTTGTAATAAAACACATTGAATTGAAAAGTTTTTAGGGAGATCACGACCAATGTGATGATATAATTCTCAGAGGAGGCATGAAAATATAAAAGTAAAATACGATAAATAAAAGGAAAGAAAAAAGTTGTAAATGGAATGAAAAAAAATTTTTTTAAACATGTAGTTGATAAATTACCTTGTGCTTGTCCACCTGAACTGGTCTCAAGTGAGGATCGAAGAGCAACTTGTCTGGCTCAATGTTGATGGGACTCTGTCGTCTTCCTTTACTGCATAGGGACCATTGTGGATTTATTAAGCCCCAGAAAGACGGACCTACGAAATAAATATATTTGTTCTTTTTCAAGAGATATATGGTTTGTGAAAATATTTATAATCTGCTAGTAAAAACTTTATGTTATTTAAAAGTTTGAAAAGCAGCTCAAAGAAAATTTGAAATTTTTACAATTTCAACTTTTCCAATTGACTGGAAAGAATTTTCGACGTATTTCGGACACTAGAGAATTGACTTTCCTTTCCTTCATGAAGTCTTATGGTTTTCTTCTACCTTTCTCATTTTTTGATGAATAAATTATTCCAACATATTTAAATCAATTGAACTTTATCATTAAAAAAGAATTGTAAGAAGAAAGAATAAATGTACTTTTTTCTCTTCAAGTTTACTTATGATTTCTTTTTCTTAGTCAAACAATCAAACAATATACTTTTCTCGAAATTTTCAACGAATTAATTGATATATCCCACGTGAAAAATAAATGAAGAAAAAAAAGGTTTTCTAAAGTCATTTCCAATGAGAAATGTGCTTCATTCTCTACTGTAAATTGAACAAAAATAAACAAGAACTCTGGTGCAAATATATCATGTCGTTGATTGTCGAACGAGACGATTTATATCAAAAACCGGAAACACTTCTCTCTATCCGCTCTAAAATAAATACACTGGCATCGAGTAACGAAAGTCAAGTGATGACATTGAATATTTTTTTATTTCTGCAATATAACTTTGAATACTGATAGCATAATGAATTGGCTGTGTGGGAAAGTATTAGACAAAACGGGATTGCCAGGACAAATGGGACCGTGAACATGAATGCTCGCATAAGTGCGCACGCAGAAAAGCTGTTGGAAACTATCAACGGTGGCGCTTCTTGGGGTGTAGATGTGATGAATGTTCTGACTAGTGAGCTTGCGGTCATGAAGAGAGGTTTATATGGTTTGCATACACGCGAATATAATTAAAAATTATCAAGCGATAAATGCATGCTTGCGGTGTCTTGGTTAGTTCTGCTCTCGTTTTTAAGGTTTAATAAGTAGCTATCTAAGTTTCATTATAATATTTACGGTGGATTTATAAATAAAATATTCATGAAATCAAATGACATTTTAAATATAAACGGACTTTATTCCATTAGCATAATTATGCTATGAATAATCAATAAAATGATACTAATTTTATATGTACATTAATAATTATCATTAACATGATATAAAATACGAATCATTGCAAGCTCTTTTGAAATTATAAAATTTATTCTAATTTCAAGTAAAAATAAGATACTTCATTTGTCAACTTGTAATGAAAAATTCCCTCATATTCATTTAATAATAAATTATTTTTTAATGAGTTTTATCAACTTCATTAATTTCTTTTTTTTCATTTTTAATAAAAAACACTATTATTTTACTCTTTATTTAATAAAAAATTTTCAAATAAATGTCATTATTTCTTCACAAATCTTCCCGTGATCTAAAACCAATTTTTTCCTAATCAATCGAAATGTCTCTCTCGACGTCTACTGTAATTATCCATCTATCTACTCGACAGTCAAATCGTAATTTCGTACGAGAAAGAATAGAGATTCATCTGCTGAGAGTTGAGATTTTTTTCTTTAATAAAATGTATAACATTATTATTATTATTTTTCAAATCTGTTTGTGGGTTGTTGACACGTGACTTAAGAATAATAAAGATAACTATACTATATAGCTAAGAGCTGAAAACGACTCTAAGGAGGTTGACTCGAAGAGGATGAGTGCCAAGTCCAATTAAGATGTTTTTCATTGGTGCAGAGCTTTAGTACGCAGTCATCTCAGTATCTAGACAGTACTCCCTTGCATACTTCAGCCTACCGTACTGAATTCATATGCATACATGAATACATTTCACTGTTTCTCCAATCAAGCTCTAACCGGATGGTTCACGAGATCGTATAGATATATATATATATATATACATATGAAAGTGTGGCCATAGTTTAGTCGCATAAGTATTGTCCAGTCACAGTGATGATATTCTCTTTTTTATTCAAACAATATAAATATAAATGGATCATGACACTATATACATATATACATAGACAGATGAAGTTTCCCTTTTATTTTTTATTTTCACCTTTCAATTCCTGGGGCTGGTCTCCCTCTCTCTCTCTCTTTATACGGCTTTGAACAATTATTAAAGTCACGATTTCGTACATCATTTGCATATCCATTAAAATTCGATTTTATCTCGTTTTCTTCTATGCAATATCACAATAAACTGGAATCGAATGTGTACACATAAAAAGATAGGGCATTAGAAAGTTGAAGTATTTATTTTCGACTAAAAAAATTTTATTAAATAATAATTTGTCTAAAAGTAACTTAATTACGATGTTAATAATAATAAGAAAAAAATTTCTTTAGGATGTTCATATTACCACAAATGAGATAATTTTAATGTTTTCTCCGAGTTTTAATGAGTAGTTTAATGAATAAACCACCGAACTACTCTTTTATCTCTGTCGTTCCTCTCCTCCTTCCGTTGTCTTATTATTACTGATTAATTGGAAAACGATAATTAATTTAAAACCTCATGATAACTTTAACATTGTTAAACAAGGATTATTGCATCCAGCATCAGAGACTTTAACTGGTTTACTTTGTACTTACTTAATGAGATCTATTTTATTATTTTCTTAATCCTTGGCAATCGTTAAATCAGTTGGAATGATGTACTTGGATATTATTGCAATATTGATTTTCTTCAAGTATCATTTTGAATAAAACAAAATAGTAAATATGTAACATGAATAATCAATCAATGTAATTAGTAAATTTCATGATTGTACTTGACAATATGTTTACCAAATTATGCATAGTAATATTTTTATAAATAACAATATAATGGTGGAATAATTGTAAATTTTGTCTAAAATAAAAATGTAGAGATTATTGGATAATTTCGTTGATTTCAGATGGATTTGCAAAATAATTAATTGTAATTTACTAATGATATAAAATAGTCCAGCAAGGGAATGAGTGTGAATCTCATTTAAAATGCATTTGAAATGAGTAAATTTGTCGATTGTTCCACTCAGATCGAGGTTAAAAAATGTGTCCGCGTGTCCAAATCGAATTTCGGAATACAATTCGTGTTACGCGTTGCGGATCGCCTTGTTATCGGCTACAATAACGATAACCCCTCACTAGTTCCCTCCATTGTATGTCCCGTGTCGCGGATTTACACCCCTATCTATATGGGTACAGTTATATATGTGGGTCCGCGATGTAGCGCCTGTAAATTCGTTAATTAACTAAGGTAATTGCTTCTCTATAGTCCTAGTAACTCACTATGCACACACGAGGTGTACATCATCCGGACATTTCAATCCAGAATTTGGGATGTGCAATTTTATTCACACGTGTGATAATAAGATCTAAGGCCATATAGATTTTGCAATACAATGAATATCATATTTTTTAATGATGTCATATTCAAGGCCTCATTTGTCGATACCATCCTGAAATTTTTCCAATTGACTACGTGCCATTTTTGCACTAAAATAATACGTTAAATTTACTCATTCATCTCACGAAATTCACTAGTTCTTCGAAATCATTATTTTTTTTCAAATCATTTATATCGAATAGTACTCTTCTTAAGTTTTGACATATGAATTATATTAATGAATCATATTACAATATTAAATCACGTTTATTCGTAAAATATTTGAAATTATTTAAAATATTTGACGTAGTTGTTACATGTGAAAAAATTCACTTTTAACAAATAATCATAAAAAGTGATATTTCGTATTTTATTAAATGAAACTTTTGAAAATCCGGTTAAAATGTGAATAATTTAGCAAATTATTTCGGCTCTTGTACAATTTGTATGGTCAACACGAATTTAATACGATATATATTCTGTACTACCTACATTATAATTTATGCGTACTCACGTTAGAAAATGAAGGTAGAAACATTGTGTTGTCATTCTCACCTCTCTCTAGTTGCTTTTACGAAGCATATTCTATGAATATGTTCATGTTCAACACCTATAAGAGAGAATGACGACCATGACGACCATCGTCCGGTAACCAGAATGTTAAATTACAGCATTTAAATAATTTCATTTAATCCGTGCGCTTCCTCTTGTACTCCTCTTTCCCTTAGTCTTAATCATTCTACCGCACCTTCTCGTGCCTCGTTACGTGTAACCGGATAACTGAGTGGACACTGACGCCGCATAGCACACGATATTTTCCAACAAGTAAAGTCAAGCGACGACGAAAGCCTGTTGCTTAATGACATTATGTCTTTCATAGAATCACTTTGTGCAATGATACCTACCATAAAAAAACCTTCTTCCCTCGTTAATTACATAACATATAATCTAATTAAAATAGTCGATCCAATCTGATTTCATTTACAAAGTAAATTATTATTTACAAAAAACTTAAAAGTCCATTATTTTATAAATAAATCCCTTTTATCTTCTGCAATTAAATTCTTTATATTTTTAAAACTTTGTTATTATGAAATGTAGAGTTGGGTGTATTTGTCTATGTGTGTGTGTACCCGGAGAAGAGGGTATTACAATTTGATAAAAAATATCTACATAAAATATAACATACGAAAAATATTTATGTTGTTTATACAGCTTTTTGCTTTATAAAAATGAAAAAAAAGAACCATCAAATCCGAGTAAAACTTGTGTTCTGAGAGTTTTTAACTATCAGATTAAACTGTAAATCTCAGCTTTTGAAAATGTTTTATTTTAATACGGTTAAAGCATGTAAATATAACGTCACCCATATGATTAACATTGTAGACAATTATAAAACGCTTTCAAGTATGTTAAAAGTATCTACAAAGTTAATCTCAGAGGTAACGTTATATATAAATGCTTTAGATTTGTTAAAATAAAACTCTTCAAGAAGTGAAGAATTTACAATAACATGTGGAATTTGACAAAAAATTCGAAATTTAATTATTCATTTAATACCCCAAATTTTCATGATATCATTCTTAAAATATTTAAAATTATTAAATTAAAATATTTTATTCTTCATTTCTTTTTTCGATTTGAATTATTAATTACATTAAAACTAAGCTGTCCATGGCAATTAAAAATAATACTTTTCTTTAATATTATCTACTACTAAAGATAATCTTTTTATTAGAGTATTTTATATTAATTATTATATTATTTTCTTTCCAATAATCAAGTGTTCTTAAAGCCAAGAATTAATATTTTTTAAAATGTTTTTTCTTTATTTTTGTCAAAAGATTTTTTTTTATATTAAATTTTAAATCTTAGCATCAACAAGAAATGTTCCATAAATTAAAATGATTAGTAAATGTATAACTTAGTATGAAATTTGATTTTTGAAAATATCTTACGTATAATTGTTGACATTAAAAACAATAAAATGAATGATATTGATATAAAAAATTTATTATTAATAATAGGAATAATAAATGTAAAGTTAAAATATGAAAAGGCTCTAAAATAACCTATATGACATTTAAAATCTTGGTTCTAAAAACCTTATTGGTTGTAAAACAAGGACATATAGACCATCTGTTAGGAATATGAAACTTCAGTAGACTTAAAAAATTTACCTCTGATCTGTACCATCATGTCGAAGTCAGTATAATAAGTTTGCTAAAGTAACCAGTTTTTCGAGCTGTACCGGGTGTTCTTAAAACGCACGATAAAATTTCATGCTGAATAGTGAAATTAACCTCCAACGACTCCGAAAAATATATTTATTATTATATGGATTTTGCATAAAATTTTTAACTACGCCCATGAATTATTTTGAGATATAAATTGCTGATTTTCTAATAAGTTTGTAATTAAATCTTGTATATCATTCAGATTAGTTATATTTAGTCTCGAATAATTCCATAACTCAATTTGTATAATTAATAAAAACTTACCAGAAATACCATCGTATGTCCACCATTCTTCCCAACTGGCTTCGGATTCTGTAAATTAAATGAAGAAGTGAATTAAAACGTATTGAATGTGTTACTCTGACTATTTTAATAATTTCATTACATGGAAGTTATTAAGAGTTATACCATGGATTATTCTTGTAGAATATTTCAATTTTTTTTTCTTTTTGGAACAAAGTATTCATGTGTAACCGTAAAATTTCCTTATCGTAAAAAGAGACTGAATACCATATGCAAAAAGAGTAAGAAAAAAACCGCATAAATATTTCACGCATACGTAAAGAGATGTGAGAGTCGTATATACGCAAATTTATTTATAACTAAACATCATGTAGCCAGTACATTATTATTTTTTCTTCAAAATTCTTTTAAAAAAGTTGATTGAATATCGCGTGTGCTCAATCATTAAAAGATATTCAGTCACATCAAAGCTTGATTCTTAACTCACATGCAACTATCTCGCAATATTATATAGTAATGCCGCACCTTCAACTATCCTCAAATTTTATCAAATTACTTACTAGACTTCATTAATGCGAATAAAATAAGAGATTTTCTTTAAATTAAATTTTTTTTATGTAAATATTGAGTTTAATTTTTTTTTATCCATATATGTATATTTTATACAACTATAGCTAATATTTTTTTTAATAACAACAATTATTTTCGATAAATTTTTTTTTGCAAGTCAAAAAATGGTAAAAATTTTTCAATAAAACCAGATCAATCATACAGAAACAAACAAAAGTGTCAAATTACGGTCGAATAAATAAGTGGAAATTTTTCAGTCGATTGAAGAGGGATCGTTTTGATTGAATGTAATCAATCAGATGATCTAGATTATCGAATAATATTTGATCATAAATGATTAAGTGATATGACGAGAACAGATTTAATAAATAAAAAAAATCAATGAAATATCAATCGTAATTTGGTAGAGGAGAAGGTAGGATTATGGGTCACTTTTTATTTTTCTTTAATTACATTTTACTCTATTGAATTATCATCAATTGTTATTTTTTGAAGTTTTTGTTTATTGCCAAGAAATTCTTTTTCAAAATATATATGGGTTAGCTGATGGAAGACGCACCGGACTCGCATGATAAATAAATGGACCATAGACTGGACCATAATCCTATCTTCTCCTCTATTTATAATATTTAAAAAATTTTTTTTTTATTTTAAATGAACTTTGAAATTATTACATATTAAATCCATCATGTATATTATTTAGATAATTATTTTTTTCATAAAAAAACATCTAGTTCAAAAACATAGTGTATGTAAAATTTAAAAAGTTCAAAGTTAGTTAGATTTATCCTTAAACATAGACGAGTCGACTTGGAATTAACAGAAGGAAGTAGATAGATGGATCTAAGAGTGGTTGCTGGTAAACGAGTTCTCCAAGGTTTCGTAAAAATGAAAGAAGAAAAAACTCTGAAGTCTCCGAAGAGAAAGTGAAAAGCGAGAAATAAGGGTTAGAGTAGGGCGAAACGAGTGGCCAAATGTAATTTAAAGAAGAAACGAAGTTGTTTGCGGGGTAAGACAGTCGAGACTCGCTTGGGGCAAGTAAAAAAGAAGACTATAGAAGGACATCCGGTTTACGATTCAACCCGCATACACCTAAGTCTCTCAACATCACCACCACCACCAATCTTTCCTTATTTGCAACGTCTTATTTGACTTTCTCGTTGCAAGAGGTACACGTCTACTTTAGTCAACCGTCCAACATTTTCTAAACCATTTTTTCCATCCTCCCTCCCTCCTCCCTCACAGATTTTCATTTTTTTTGTCATCAAAAAGTTTTTTCTAACTTTCAAAAAACAAACTTTTATCTTCAGTTTATTTAAATAATTCTGTGAATACTCGATTATTTATAAAAATTACAATTTAATTTTATTTACAATCCGAACAAAAATTTTTTAAAAATAATTTACCACAAAGTTTTTGAGTTTAAATTTAAAATTTCATAGTAAAATATTCCATTACAAGGATAAACACGAATTCTCATATTACACCTTTAATGAAGAAGTTATGTGAAGTTTTGCCATACTTTTGAATTTGATTTTTTTTTTCTAATTTAAAAATGAATTTTTAAAATTATTTACATTAAGTAACTAATTAACTCGGTATGAAAATGAAGAGAAAGAAATCTTAAAAGTTAAAAGTAAATAAACTATATGTAAATGAATATTGTTGAATATAATAGATGTCATGTTTAAAATTATTCCCATGTTTCAAGAAATTTAAATAAAAATACACCTGTATATGGAGCATGATTTCTTGATCTACAATAATAATAACAATATTTTAAACTTTGTACATAAGTTGATTGCAATAGTGATATGTTCTAGAAAACTAGCTAGGCAAGTTACAAACTATGGAGTATAATATTTGACTATGTGATATCTGCATAAGCAATATCAGCATACGTGCCATCAAGCAAGTGTGTATTCACTTGAGTACAACGATGTACATAGAAAGTGACAGAACTTTGCAACTTTAGTGTCATAGTTATTAAAGTTCGACCATGACACCTGATACAGTTGATAATACGATAAATGTGATAACATACAAAGCAAATAATAACTTCCTATATCCGCTGATTTTGACGTTTTCATCTATTCATAAATGCACATACATATGAAGGAAAATTAGACGATGGACTTGAATTGTAGAATCATCAGTTGTAATTATCACGCTATCTAAATCTCATTATCATATTAATTCACTTTAACAGAATAAAATGGATCTTTTTAAAATTAAAAATATTGTTTATTAAAAAGTATAATGAAATTTTTTTAGAGTATTTCACTTGGCTTGATTGGAAGACGATAAGTTGGACCTTTTTTCCTATACACACATTTCTTCTAAAGCCCTCTATACTTCTCCTCAATTCTCTTCATATATATTCTGAGTCGAAATGGTAAAAAGCTTTCACGCAGTATTAAATTTCTCTACAGCTTAGTATAAAAATAATTTTTTTCTCTTGACTAACTTACAGCATTTGTGCAATACATTTATCATTTTGATATCATAATAGAATGTATGACAGTAATGATAAATCAGTTGTGATTACATAACTAATAAATCCCATGTGAGTAATAAATAAATAACAAAATAAGTTGAACAAAAAGTTCAATAATTCTCATCGTAAATGTATAAGTACTTTATGGAAGTAAATTTCGACATATTTTGGGGGACAGGGGGTAAGATTAATATTAGCGAATGGTAGGGATTAATCTGACTAAAGTAGTTAGTGATGATTCAATTATTGAGAAAGCGTCACGAGTGTAGTGGAGTTGGTAGCTCAGGGGTAAGCGTACAGTGAGTTCCTAAACCTATAGGAGGACAATATGTAATTCAGTTTGGTCGCACTCGGTGGCCGTGGCGTGTGCGTAGAATCGAGCGGAGAGTTGACTAGCACTATGTGTTGGCAGTTAAAATCGACGAAATAGATGCGTGGTTGAAGATCAATTCACATCCAGTAATAGTTCGGTCGCAAGCTCGGTGATCGGGGCTGACCTACCTGCGACCTTTATCATTCCTGTTAGCTCTTACTGTCTCCCTCCACAACCACAACCGCTCAGCTACCACGCCAATAAGGACCTTTGATAGCGACAGCAAATGCTCACATCACAATAACTCAGTAATGAGTCCCAGTGCCATTCAGGCAATCGAAAGTCTCTGTTTATCATGATGTGAAATTGCTAGAATACTGTATTCTCGATATAGAGACATTATAGAATAGTACTATAATCCTCTGAATATTATTAACACAATGTGTAATTAAATAACTTTATTACAATTGATGAACTTCTGGAAACTTTGATACAATAGCGTCGTAATTAAAAGACAGCATTCTTTTTTCTTTTGCTATCAAAAAGAGATAAAGAATGAAATTTATTGTAAAGTTTTATGAAATATTGAATAATTAAGATAAAAAATAAAACCATTCGATATGATAATTATTAATTAAAGTAATTAAAATACAAATTTATTGATTTAGAATAATCCAAAGAATTTGTGGATTTAATAATGGATAAAAATGACAGTGATTAAATTTAAAAATTCATTTCATTAATTAAATGAGGATTCAAATTGGCAAATAATTCACTGAATGTGTAATAAAAATCCTCCACATTATCATGATTCGCACGAGTTGACCAACTGTGCCAGTTAACTGGAAATTTCTGGTTGCCGCAAATTGTCTGGCGTAACGGTGGGCCATACCACTTGATTCGCGACGATCATCAGTTTGATACCGCGATCGGACTAGATCGTCACGTGTAAAAGCGTAACCAAGTTACAGACTGAAGGGTATTTCGCGTTCTATTCATGTTCCAAGACACGTATACTTGTGGGGCGTGACGTAACTGACTAACAACGCGGTAACACGCTTGAGTAATCCGTTTCTACTATTGCATCTCTCACCCTTTGGACCGGTTGGTGGCTTATTACACGGCCTCGTGACCAGCCGCCTGCCTAAACTCAATTCCAGTACAGGGGTAATGTGGTAATTAGTTTTAATGTCATTTTCTCGTTCCTTTCTATGCCCATGGAATCCTATTGGAAAATTATCATGCTAATTATTTATTTGTTAATCATATAAATGAATTTTCTATTCTGCACTCAGTGACTCTATTTTTTCGGAACTAGAAATAAATATTGGATTCTTTTTTTGTATCATTCATCAGACATTTGTCGTCTAAATTGAAACCTTTTATTCTACAGGAGCCTGTCGTTGTTACGCGGATATCTTCAAAGGATATATCCATGAGCCACAGGATTTCCACGGGATGTTACAGAGCGACAGGTAATCCAATGGCCAACTGGGTCGAGCGATAAGGGTTAATCTAAGAACATAACAGTTAATTTCGCGTATATATATATATACCAATTTTGTTAATAGTATATATGTATTTTATGGTTTTCAAACTCTTGTAAACATTTTATAAAGTCCACCTCTCTCTTTAGCTGTTCATAATTCAATAAAAATACCATTTATTTTACGAATATTTTGAATAAAC